ACACATCCTCCATGCTGTTTCATGCTGTGTGTGTACATGATGAATGGAATGTATAGAATTCTCCTCATCACCCTCCAGGTGAACGGTGTGGATCTGAGGAACGCAACGCATGAACAAGCAGCGCTCGCTCTGAAGAACGCAGGACAGACTGTCACCATCATTGCACAATACAAACCGGAAGGTATGCCATATACTTTGTCATAGATGCTACTATAGATTGAGGGCCCGTTCCTAGCGAGGGCCCGTTCCCGTTTGCTCATGTGGTGATCGGTCATGCAATGGTGGGGGTGGAATGGGCCCCCCATTGCTCATGTGATCAGTCATACAATGGGGGGGGGAGGGGGTGGAATGGGCCCCCCATTGCTCATGTGGTGATCAGTCATACAATGGGGGGGGGGGGGGGTGGAATGGGCCCCCCATTGCTCATGTGGTGATCGGTCATACGAGGGGGGTGGATTGGGCCCCCCATTTCTCATGTGGTGATCGGTTATACAATGGGGGGGGTGGAATGGCCCCCCCATTGCTCATGTGGTGATCGGTCATACGAGGGGGGTGGATTGGGCCCCCCATTGCTCATGTGGTGATCGGTTATACAATGGGGGGGGTGGAATGGACCCCCCATTGCTCATGTGGTGATCGGTCATACGAGGGGGGTGGATTGGGCCCCCCATTGCTCATGTGGTGATCGGTTATACAATGGGGGGGGGGAGGGTGGATTGGGCCCCCCATTGCTCATGTGGTGATCGGTCATACAATGGGGGGGTGGAATGGGCCCCCCATTGCTCATGTGGTGATCGGTCATACAATGGGGGGGGGGAATGGGCCCCCCATTGCTCATGTGGTGATCGGTCATACAATGGGGGGGGGGAATGGGCCCCCCATTGCTCATGTGGTGATCGGTCATACAATGGGGGGGGGGAATGGGCCCCCCATTGCGCATGTGGTGATCGGTCATACAATGGGGGGGGGGAATGGGCCCCCCATTGCTCATGTGGTGATCGGTCATACAATGGGGGGGTGGAATGGGCCCCCCATTGCTCATGTGGTGATCGGTCATACAATGGGGGGGTGGAATGGGCCCCCCATTGCTCATGTGGTGATCGGTCATACAATGGGGGGGGTGGAATGGGCCCCCCATTGCTCATGTGGTGATCGGTCATACAATGTGTCCCTGCAGAGTACAGCCGGTTTGAGGCCAAAATCCACGACTTGCGGGAGCAGCTGATGAACAGCAGTCTGGGCTCTGGAAGCGCCTCCCTGAACAACACCAATGGCGGCAAACGAGGATTCTACATCCGGTAAGAGTGTGTGGGGGGGGGAGGGGCAAGTGTGGGGGGCACCCTACCCATGTATTAGAGGTCACCGTGTCCATGTTACCATGTATTAGAGGTCACCGTGTCCCTGTTACCATGTATTAGAGGTCACCGTGTCCATGTTACCATGCATTAGAGGTCACCGTGTCCCTGTTACCATGTATTAGAGGTCACCGTGTCCCTGGTCCCATGTATTAGAGGTCACCGTGTCTCTATTACCATGTATTGGAGGTCACCGTGTCCCTGTTACCATGTATTGGAGGTCACCGTGTCCCTGTTACCATGTATTAGAGGTCACCGTGTCCCTGTTACCATGTATTAGAGGTCACCGTGTCCCTGTTACCATGTATTGGAGGTCACGGGGCCCTTTTACCATGTATTGAAGGGCACCGACGTGTCCCTGTTACCATGTATTAGAGGTCACCGTGTCCCTGTTACCATGTATTAGAGGTCACCGTGTCCCTGTTACCATGTATTAGAGGTCACCGTGTCCCTGTTACCATGTATTAGAGGTCACCGTGTCCCTGTTACCATGTATTAGAGGTCACCGTGTCCCTGTTACCATGTATTAGAGGTCACCGTGTCCCTGTTACCATGTATTAGAGGTCACCGTGTCCCTGTTACCATGTATTAGAGGTCACCGTGTCCCTGTTACCATGTATTAGAGGTCACCGTGTCCCTGTTACCATGTATTAGAGGTCACCGTGTCCCTGTTACCATGTATTAGAGGTCACCGTGTCCCTGTTACCATGTATTAGAGGTCACCGTGTCCCTGTTACCATGTATTAGAGGTCACCGTGTCCCTGTTACCATGTATTAGAGGTCACCGTGTCCCTGTTACCATGTATTAGAGGTCACCGTGTCCCTGTTACCATGTATTAGAGGTCACCGTGTCCCTGTTACCATGTATTAGAGGTCACCGTGTCCCTGTTACCATGTATTAGAGGTCACCGTGTCCCTGTTACCATGTATTAGAGGTCACCGTGTCCCTGTTACCATGTATTAGAGGTCACCGTGTCCCTGTTACCATGTATTAGAGGTCACCGTGTCCCTGTTACCATGTATTAGAGGTCACCGTGTCCCTGTTACCATGTATTAGAGGTCACCGTGTCCCTGTTACCATGTATTAGAGGTCACCGTGTCCCTGTTACTATGTTTCTCTGCGCAGGGCGCTCTTTGACTATGACAAGACGCGGGATTGCGGCTTCCTCAGCCAGGCTCTGAGCTTCAAGTTTGGGGATGTTCTGCACGTCCTTGATGCCACGGATGAGGAATGGTGGCAGGCTCGGCGGGTGCTGCCGGAGGGGGAGGAGATCGGCTTCATCCCCAGTAAGAGAAGGTGAGAAGGTGTCATCCCCATCCTGATCCTGGCTCCTCCCAGTATCTCTGTCATCATCGTGATAGCTGAGCCCCAATCCCGCTGTACCCCCCCCGACAGAACAAAAACTAGGTCCGCCCATTCAGTGATGTCACCACCCCCAGACTGGATGATGTCATGGTACCATGTC